AGGAATGTAGGCTCAGAGACTTGAAGTATGCTCTAAAGAAATCCCAGAGACAGTAGAAAGGCAGACACCAGAGAGGACTGCATGGAGCCAAATCAGGAAGCTTCTGGGAGCTGCTAGAATGGAAAATACATCTGGCACAAAAGGGCACACTTTCAAAAGCTAACACAAAGGAGATTTTTCTTTCAAGCATTGATGCCTTCATCTCACACAACAGATCTGAGCTTCTCTACATAAAAATCTGCCCCTCACCTGTATTATTAACTAGTTCCTGCCATTAAAAGATCCATATTTAGATACTAGTCACCTCTGATCTCTGTTCGTGTACTTGGGTGAGGTGGGAGGAGAGTTCTTCTGACGTTGCTCAACTCAGGACCACTCATAGCAATGCTCTGCTACGAACAGCCCTCACCTAGCAGGCTTGTCTCACTCCCTGAGGGATGGCAGTAACAAATACTATAACAAGTAACAAGTACCAAGCAAAGTAAGAAGACTGACGTAGTGGTGATTAAAAGGGTCCTGGGGAGCCATACCTCGAGGCTCTGCAAGGTCTGCTCTGAGTCCTCCTTCGTCCTCTGAATCTCATTCTCCACCTCACTCAGCTCCCACTGAGCCAGCTCACATTTCTGCTCCACTGTCAGGCCTACAAGACAGTCTGTTGCACTGTGAAGCTTGGATTTGTACCTGCCAGTTGTCTGCAACAAACAGGAAACACAGGTGCCCTTAGAAAGCCAGTACTGGCCTGTATTCAAAAAGAAAATCATGTCAATGGTCATGTTAGTGGGATTCCAGCTAGGGCAAGGAGACCTCTCCAGAGCAGAGGTAACTCAGGGCCACACACATCATGTCCTTTCACCCACCCACAAAACCCTCCTATGCAAGCACTTTCAGTTCAATTCAACAGGCAAATCCAGGGCTAGAGGTTAAAGCCAATGTGACAGATTGGCGTGGACTGCTAGAATACCTCTCTGTAGTAAAGATGCCAGTTGTTGTGTAGGACAGATGGGGTCTTCTACCACTGGCTGGGTCAGACACCCTGAGCAGCACCATGGATAGCTGGAGTCTGCTCTGGGAAGAGCTGACACCCCTTTGAGGCAATTCCAGGTGCTGTGGGGAGGCACTGGAGTCACACACTGCTTTGCAGAGTGCAAGTGACCTTTTGGCCTGAGGCAAAGCTTCTAAAGGCTCAGTCTGGGCCTAACCAGAGAGCCACTAATTTGGGATAAAACCCAGGGCAGAATGCTGGCTGAAAGGAGCTCCACCACAAAGAGTCTAGAAGCTTCTGTTTATTCCATCTCTGGTGAGGTGAAAAAGCACCTTTCAGGCCAGGAGGTAAAAATCTAATCCAAAAGGATGTTCACAACCTCAATGATATGGAGAGGAACACACACCCAGCTAAGGTACAGGGTAGGGATGCACATTGGTTTGAGCCCACAAGAATTTCCCGAGGGGGAGGTAAGCATTCCTGTCCACGACAACAGTGCTATCACATAGGAGAGGACATCAGCTGGGGGTGGAGACTTAGCAGTCTGGCCTTTACACTGAGCGCAGGGGTGACAAGGCAGCCCCAGCTCTTAAACCTACAAGGCCAGCAGCACCTTTTTGGAAGCTGGTGTCTAGGTGAAGAGCTCATCCCTGTGAAGCCCAAGTGCAGAGGGCTGCAGGGGGGCTTCTTCACCACATTTCAAACCGGGAAGCCTGCCTGTGGACCTCCGGTCACCCGCGCACTGAGAGCGGGAGGTCAGAGGGGCTGCAGAGGGAGGCAGGGTCCTGGCTGTGCCTGACCCAGCCCCCGCAGCCCTGCAGGGGCACCGCTGCTGCCCCGGCTCCGCGGCCGTACCTGTGTCAGCTCCGCTGAGGCGGCCTGCGCCTCCGCCTGGTGCCGGC